GTTTGTATGTTTTTTCAAGTTGAAAACTTTGTAAATTTCTGGTTGGGTTCGAATGTATAAAGAAGAGATCGTTGCACCCTTCGGTTAAATATAAATAAAGCGGCTACTTTTCGCGATGCAATGAATTTTTAAGCACTTCCTCTCTGCACGAGTTTCTGCTATTTCTGCCACGATCGAACGGGCACCCATTCTGAGAAATCTAATCGGATTCCGTTGTCAATCAGCGAGACAACGTTCTACGATCAGGCGTCAAGTGTCTGCGAACAATGTTCTAATTATACGCATGCATCCCTGCATATCTTATTGTACTTTGTATTAAAATAGATATAGGAAATGGAGATGAAAAAATGTTCGGTACAAGATCGTTATGGTGTTAGAAATTTTTATCGTTACATTTTTAGCAAAATTTGGAATTAACATGATATGGGAAATCGAGGAAAGCAATGGGATAATTGAGAGAAAGAAATATCGAGAAGGGTGCAATTTCTGAATGTGCAAAATTGAGGTAATGGAAATTTGGGAAATTGGAATATCGCGGACATTAGAATTTAAAAAATGGGAAAGTTGAAAAATTGGAAATTTGAGGAAATGGAAACTTGGGAAATGGGAAAGTTGAACAATTAGAAAATCGTGGAAATGAAAGTTTGTAAAATCCAAAATTTGAGAAATGGGAAAGTTGAACAATTGGAAAATCATGGAAATGAAAGTTTGTAAAATCCAAAATTTGAGAAATGGGAAAGTTGAACAATTGGAAAATCGTGAAAATGAAAATTAAAAAAATTCAAAGTTTGAAGAAATGAATATTTAGGAAATTTAAAAATCGACGAAACGAAAACTTGGAGAATACAGAAAATCGATAAATTGGCAAATTGGGAAATTCCAAAGTCACGAAATTTCAAATGGAAACGAAAGTTTGTAAAATCAATTCAAAGCTCTCAAAGAAAGTTTGTAAAATCCAAAATTTGAGGAAATGAAAATTTGAGAAATGGGAAAGTTGAACAATTGGAAAATCATGGAAACGAAAGTTTGTAAAATCCAAAATTTGAGGAAATGAAAATTTGAGAAATGGGAAAGTTGAACAATTGGAAAATCGTGAAAATGAAAATTTAAAAAATTCAAAGTTTGAAGAAATGAATATTTAGGAAATTTAAAAATCGACGAAACGAAAACTTGGAGAATACAGAAAATCGATAAATTGGCAAATTGGGAAATTCCAAAGTCACGAAATTTCAAACACTCCAATTTCAGGATTCCAAAAATTCAAAGCTCTCAAAATCTAAAAAATGAAGTCCATCCTGACATCTAAACTTTTCCAGGACCACCCCTCGCAAACCCAAAAGCAAATCTCCAAAAAAGTGCCCAAGGAAAGAGACCAATACTCTTAGATACTCGATTTCCAAGGAGTAGAAAGACAGTTCCGCGAAGGAAGACCAGAACAATGGCTCCTCGTCCATGCTCGTCCTCCCTGCTGCGTCCGCGTGGGCGTCGCGCGCTCTACAGTCCGATCATATACTCCGGGTGAGCTTTTTACATAAAGCCACGTGCACGCACATAAGTCTTTCTAAAAATAGAAATTTGAGCAAGATGCTATTAATAGCGGATGAGTGTGTTCCCACAGGCGGTGGTGCCTCTCATTCGGCTCCGCACAGCTTGTTACCAGCGGCTTTTCGGAAAAGAAACACGGAATTCGATCCTTAGATCCGCCTAACCCCGTTTTCGGATCGAAATAAAACTGGAAGAGTTTGTCGAGGCTGCAGTCGTAATACTCGCTTCGTTACGAAGCACCAGTAGTCACTCGTAGCTATAGGTATCGGCATTGTCTTGTTAAGAGGTTAACCTGTAGATTTATTGCAAAGGATAGGCATAGTTAGGAACACCAAAGAGAGGGTAAACCTTCCAATTTTTCTTTTAGGGGAATAAGTAGGTATTTCGGAGCGAACTGTTTGTCATTCGGGGGAGCGCAGCCAGGGCTAAGAACAGAATAAATTTTATTGGAAAAGATCGAAAATTGAGGGAGATATGGGTACTTTTATAAGGGACAGGTGTGTAGAGCTTAGAGCTAAAGGGGCTAAGGATACGGTTGTCTTTGCGATTTTTTTTTTGAAGAAAGTAAAGAGGATTTGAGAATGAGCTTTTCGACATTCGAAAGAGTAGACTTAGAGCTAACAATTGAATAAATTATATTGGAAAAGATCGAAAAATCGTGATAGTACAGGTATTTTTGTAAGAGGTAAATATGCAGCTCGTGTAGAGCTAAGAGGTCCTAAAACAACGTCACATTTACGATTTTTTTTAAAGAAGGCAAATAAATTTCCAGAATGAATCTTTTATCGTTCAATAAAATACACTTACTTGTAATTATCAAGTAAATTTCAATGAAAAATATCAAAAAACCACAATGATACAATCATTTTCCTGAGATGTGACCCTTAATGTAGGGTTCTGCTATATCGGGTGCAAATTTTGCATTACTCAATCAAGCTAAAGATTTTCTAAGAAGAGGAGCAAATCCAATTCTTATCTCCATTATGTGTTAAAAACTTGATAATCCAGAAAATTTTGCAAATTAATTTTTCCTTCCTAACTTAGCGATGACGTTACAAGGTGACTAAAATTCAACGAAAAGGGAGATTTTCACGCAGAATCGAGGAAATGTTTCATTGGAAATTGATCGAATGCCAATTGGTCCGGTGTTAATCTAAAAATTATGGTATCGCGTTGCTATTTGCCCGCGACCGCCATTAGGGCCCGGGAGTTAGTCCAAAATGTATGAGTAATAAATTTATTTCGGTGTGTCTCTCGCTGGTTCATCGCTCAGAAAACACATTTTCCTGTGTAGCACAATGTAAACGAATACCAAAGTACCATATCTCTAGCCGGGCGTGATTCATGCCGCTATTGACAGATCTTGGCCACCACGCTTAAAATATCAAGATTTAATTCAAAACACCTATTCCCATAAAGCTGACGGATCGTAAGTCGTGATGAATCAACTCTAAACGAATCACGACAAATTGGGAAGGGAGTAACGCGTCCATCTCGAAATACGAATTTTCTACATTCCAAAAATAAAGGAGAAAAATCTTTTAAAATAATTTAGAAAAATTTTCACTCGAAAAAATATTCACTTTATCTTCAAGAATTTGTCAAATTTAACTTTGAGTAAATAAAATTACTTTGGAAATAGGAGTAGCAGAAATTTGAAAATTTCACTCATCTTGACGAAAATTCGTTTTTTCAAGTGATGCGTAAAAAATGTTCCAATCTGACATCGATTCCTTGAAGATTCAATAAAAATGGACGTCGAAGAGGCGCCATTTCACGTTCCATGAAATAAAATGCCGGATAGATTTTCTCAGGTTCCATCTCTATCTCGTATTTCCTCGAAATTTCTTCCATGCCACGGCTGCGTTCCGGTTTCTTTCTGAAATCTGTCCGTTTCTACAGTATTGCAAAACCGTGATCGCCATATTGTATATTTCTCTAACGATCCCTCTTTCTCTCATCGTAAATATAACGCTCCCCGAAGCACCGTGATTGTTATCTCAATGTTTGCAGTATTTTCCGCACGATATCGTTGGAAAGGATTTATTTCTTGCAAATTGGACGTTCTCGCGTGTTTTGAGGCTACTGAAAATAGATCGAAAGGAAGAGTTCTTTTTCGATATCTTCAGGCACAGGTGAAGAAAAATATCGATAATTCGTAGCTTTCTTTCTTTTTCTATTTCTTGCTGCTGCAGAACTAGTTTTAATTTTACAAATTGAGAAGAAAGTGGGCTGGGTGTAAAATCAGTTTTCAAAGAAAACTAATCAAAGCTAATTTGTGGTCTGTTATTAAGAAAAATAAGTGGATTCAGCGAAAGTGTATGTATAAATGTGTATAAATGTTGTAAGAATAAAATAAAAAAATAAGATATTGCCGAAGGCGTGATATGTAGACGTTACAGTTTACTTTGAAGATGAATAAACATACATATGTAAAATTGTATTTTCTAAATACACATTCACAAAAAATGTCGATTTTTGACAGTGACTCCTTCTTAATCATTCGAGGGCGATGAACTCATGAAAGCGGTCAGCAGAAGATATCAGCGGAACTGGTGAAGTCAGGTATATAGTGTCCCGTGAAAAAACATACACACTGTGAGCCAAAATTTAAGAGTCAGTTTCACGATTCAGTACCAAAATATAGTACAAATTATTTTTATAAATTAAAACCGCCATTTTGTGAAAATAAATGTATTCAAAACTACGACAGAAACTGGACTTGTTGGTTTATTAAAAGAAATGAATTGGCCCTTTCCTTGCAATTGTTAAACAAAACAAAATTTTGCACCCGGTATAGAAAATTTTTATATCAAAAGACACTTCCTAAATAAAAATTCATGTCTTCACTATTTTCCAACATTCTTAACTAAAATTTATAACATTTCTAGTTTAAGGTATACACTTTTGAACGTTGAAAAACTTACGTTAAAACTCTGTTTACTTTACCGGAAAAAAATTCTGAAAGACAACCCCATTTTTGACTTCCCTAGCTCAATCTAACCTCTCACAAAAATGTCTTCATTATCGTTACTTGTCAATCTTTTCGAGTAACATTTGCAATAATCCTAGTTCCAAGTATGCTCTGTCGACTGGCGGAAAGCTTGCTCTTTGAAAACTCACTCAAATTCCTCTAAAAAAAAAAACATCCAAAAGGGGACCCTATCTTTAGCCTTTCTAACTCCACGTACTCTCTAAAGGAACGAAAAAGAAAGAAGAAAAAGAAAAAAAAAATCAACGAAAAAGCTCGAATCATACGTTATATAAGTAACATCCTGGTTCCGAACTAAGCACGTTCCACTCCGTACGCAAAGGGTTAACGAGTGGCGCACGTTCTCCGCCGAGTATAGTGTAACACCCCCGCTAGATGGAAGGCGGCTAGCGGCACTCCCTCTGCCACCGCGACGCTGTCGTCAACAGCACTGACGTTCCGATGCACACGTGCCGTGTGCAAACCTCTGGCTATGACTAGGACTGGCACGACGCGAGAACAGCCATTCGACTCCAGTATTAGTGCGGTGTAGAAGTGCTTCACGGTGTTTAAACTTGTCTCACGACTTTGCCTGCCTTCCTCCCTGAGTTTATCCAATTTTCTGTTCCGTGACTTCGACACACCCGGTGGTGAGTAGTCGTACACAGACACCAACCAACCAACCAAATCAACCGAGCAACCAGTGGGAACATTATCGTTTGATCGTGAAGAGTTAGAGTGGCTTCTTTTTTGCGCTATGCTGATCACTGTCGTATAGAACGAGTGTCGCACAGAGAACCGGCCCCGAAAAGCAAAATACAGTTTTCCAAGTTGTACCTTTGATAAAAATGTGTAAATGTAAAGGATTGAAAGCTTTTTTCACGCATTAGCAACCGAACGAATCCTAGTCGAATCGTTCAAGATTGGTAAAACTTTTCTTGGGAAATTGGTAGAGAAACCTGTGTTAGGAGAATGAATAATATTGGCTCGTTACGTCTAACGATGTTATGGAACGAAATTTCTTAGGATATCTGGTAATACGAGAATGAAATATCGTTCCTTGTGATTGATTGCGATTATTTTGCGTTTGGGGTTAGTTCTATGTGCGTCACCCTGTAGTTCTGGTTTTACGTGACTGCAAGTGTTTTTTCTTTTTGGTTAAGGTTTGCAGTAATTTAGGAAGAAGATTCGTCAGAATTGAGCTTTTCAAGTGAAAAAGAAGAGAGCTGGTTGTTTTTCTCGGGATGGAAAAGTTTAGAGGATATTAGACTATAGTTGAGGACCAATATTGAGATCTTGGTTAAGATTCGCGAAGAAGATTTGTTAGTATCGAGATTTCCAAGAGTTTAGTTTAGTTTTTCCGAAACAGAGAACACTGTAGAATATTTGAGTATAGTCGACAATGAAACATGAGATCGTTACAGATTTAGTATAGTCGGGGGTGGACTATAGCGTTCTCGGAGTGTTATGATGTAACCTATGTACAAACAACGCGTCAGAAATATCGTGGTTGCTCTTTCTCTATGACTCATCCGGATTGAATTGCCAAATTTTACGGCTGGACGTACGATTATTCGTCACAGTCTGCTACTGATGTCTAAAATTAATACGCTACTCTAAGATTGAAGATTGTTGGACGTGGAGGAGATTGGAATACGATGCTTTGATCTGTGAAATTTTTTTTTATCGACGGTTCGACGATTGAAATGATTGTATCATGTTGCGGCGATAATGAATCACGGCAGGAGAAGAATTTTTTGAAGTTAGGTTATGAGGAGAATGGATTCTGGGGTGAAGGATTTTTGGAGTTGAGGAATGTTGGAATGTTGAAATATGGGATATTTTAGATTTCCGTATAAATGTCGAACAGTTTATACTTGTTTGAGAAGATGAGTAAAGACAAATACTAAGATAAGATTATGTCCAACTGAGATAATTGAAGAAAGAAATTTTTTTCATTTCTCTGACCAAAATGTTGAAGTTTGATGTCCAAGTAATGAAAGTTAATTAAAATCTAATTAAATGGAGGGTTAAAAGTGAAAGAAATAGAACTTTTTCTAAGTAAATTTCAGGGACAAGGAACATTTGGTCTCCATGTTCGTTTATCTAACTTGCAATCTTTCACGCGAAGTCCAAAATTATAGTTAGCAATATTTTACAGATGCAAAGGTAAGAAAAGAATTCTGTCAAGATAAACACAACGAGGACGACAAATTCCAAAATCGAAAATTCATAGAAATAAATCCCGAATATTGCAAAGAGTTCACTGTTACAGTGTAATTATCAATTTTGTTTACATAGAAAATCAACAGAGGCAAGCATTTTCTCAAATTGAACGATAAATACGAAAATGAAGGATTCGTAAAATGTTCAGAAAAGTTGATCGCCAAACACTGGAAAATTTCCAATTCGACCTGCAGGAAGGCATTGTTTCAT